TGTGGGCTGGGCTTTCAGCTGGTGTGGTGCTCCAGGTAATAATGAGAAGGGCAGTGGAGTGAGGAAGGGTCTGGAGCACAAGGAGGAGCTGGGGGGGCTCAGCAAGGACCTTATTGCTCCCTGTTTAGTGTCGAAGGAAGGGGACCAGGACACCAGATGGTTCATCACAGGTCCAGTTTATTGAAGAAAGCATCAAACACTTATACAGCAAATAATAAGCTTATGAATATTCTGTAAGCCAAGCAATCTATTGGTTAAACTATACCATTAACTCTTCCTCATTCCTTTGGGCCTGCCTTCTCTACTTCTCACGTCTCGCTGTCCATTTCTTTATCATACTCAGCTAGGCCCAAGGACACACTATCTTGCAGGTGCAGGATTTGGAATTAGCCACGGCTTTGTACTTTTCCAGTCTCTAGTCAGCTAAATTCCCAACAGTTTAGTACTACCTGACAGAAGGGTCTAGCCCACTGGGGGTCAGGCTCTTCACCCTAGAAACAAGTTACAGGGCAAGAGGTTTAGAGTGGATATTGGGGGAAATTTCCTCATGGAAAGTGTGGTCAGACCCTGGCACAGGGTGCTCAGGACAGTACTGGAGTCACCATCCCTGGATGGATTTAGCAAATGTATGGATGTGGCACCTTGGGACTTGGGTTGGTGGTGGCCTTGGCAGTGCTGGGGGGAATGCTTGGACTTGATTACGTTAGAGAGCTTTCCAGCCTCAAAAATGTTGTGATTGTGTCCCCGTTGCAGGAGGTGGAGCGCAACCTGCAGGATGCCATGCAGGTGTGCCGCAATGTCCTCATGGATCCTCAGCTGGTGCCCGGTGGGGGAGCCACTGAGATGGCCGTGGCCCATGCACTGACAGAGAAGTCCAAGGGCATGACAGGAGTGGAGCAGTGGCCCTACCGTGCAGTGGCCCAGGCCCTGGAGGTCATTCCTCGCACGCTGATCCAGAACTGCGGCGCCAGTACAATCCGTGTTCTGACTTCACTCAGGGTAAGGAATGTGCCACCAGGCGAGACTCAGCCCTTTCCTGCTTCACCAGTTCAGAACAGTGCCCTTGTTGTGCCATCAGTAACATGTTCTTGTATAAACTCCAAAAGCAAGAATATTCTCATGATCTGTTACAGTTTCCTCAGGCCGTAGTTGTGGTGGGGTTCACAGGGGTTCCAGGACAACGGAAGAGATGAGAATCTTGACTCCATGTTTCAGAAGGATGATTTATTATTTTATGATATATATTATATTAAAACTATACTAAAAGAATAGAAGAAAGGATTTCATCAGAAGGCTTGAAAGGAAAAGTAATGGAATGATAATAAAATCCTGTGACTGTGATTGGCCATTAATTAAAAACAACCACATGAGACCAATCACAGATCCACCTGTTGCATTCCACAGCAGCAGATAATCATTGTTTACCTTTCATTTCTAAGGCCTCTCAGCTTCTCAGGAGAAAGAATCCTAAGAAAAGGATTTTTCATAAAACATGTCTGTGACACGTAGTCAGTTTGAGACTCCAGAAGGGAAATTGCTATCTCGCCCACACTGTCCTTCTGCTTCCAGGCCAAGCACACTCAGGAAGGCAGCCAGACATGGGGGGTGAATGGGGAGACCGGAGCCCTGGTTGACATGAAGGAGCTGGGGATCTGGGAGCCCTTGGCTGTCAAACTTCAGACCTACAAAACAGCTGTGGAGGTAAGGAGAGGTGGAAACTTGAGTCTCTGTGGGTATTATCTGGGACATGAGGACATCCTTGCCTGCATGCTGGGGTGTTTGGGTGGGCATCACGCCCATGCAGGGCATGCTGGTGTGTCTGAACTCATTGCTGGAGGTGGGATAATGAGGGATGTGGGAGCCCAGCCTCAGGCTTTCCCAGGACTTTTGATCCTGCAGCTGAATTTCATCATATTTCATCCCACCTTTTCCTGTAAACAGTGCAGAGTGCTCTCACTGCTTCCAGTGCCAGACAGAGCTGTGCCTGAGCAATCCTGTGCCAGCAACATGCTGGAATCAGCAGTGGTGGTGGGAGCTTTGTCCCTCTGCCTGGCTGGGGCTGCCATGTCTCAGCTGCCCTTCTCGCTACAGATCCTGCCCTTACCTTGCTGGTGTTGGATCAAAGGCTGTTTGTCTAGGGATACTGTGTCCCTTCTGTATCAGTCAACAAGAATAAATGTGTCCTTGTTTCCATGGTGGTGGGAGAGCAGCCCCTTGCTGCTCCTATGAGCCTGTGAGACACCTTCCCCTTTCCTGTGCTGAAAGAGCCATTTCAGCCCAGGCTGATGATTGTGTGGTGTGAAAGCTGGGCAGGTTGGGTTTTGTTTTTTGTCATGAGTTCTAAATGAGCCCTGGGTTTGGGGTTTCTCTGCAGACTGCAGTCCTCCTCCTCCGTATTGATGACATCGTTTCGGGGCACAAAAAGAAGGGTGACAACCAAAGCAAGCAGTCTGCAGCACCAGAGACAGCCCAGGAGTGAGAGGTTGAGTCTTCCCAGGAGAGAACCAACTGCCTTGACCTTGGCATGGGGAGGAGCTCAATGCAGTGGCCTCAAGGCTGAGCCTGGAAAAGTTTGTTTAAAGTCCAGGAGGGATGGAAAATACCCTGGGCAGGGGGAAAAGGCAGTGGCAACACTGCACTGCTTGTGGGGTGAGGGTTACTGACTGAGAATTCTCTTCACCTCAAAATAAATACATTGTTTCAGGCTGTTTCTGTCTTCAATCCTTGTGCTGGGACAGGCTGGGCAGGGGGTCCGTGCCAAGCCCGGGAGGTTCAGCCAGGCCAAGGGCAGGTGCTGCACCTGCATTGGGGCACCCCAAAACACAAACAGACTGGGGAGGATGGATGGAGAGCAGCCCTGGGAAGGAGTGGGGGAATGGGACAAAGACAAGAAGCTCAGCAAGCTGTGGCAACGAGCACTGGGAGCCCAGAAAGCCAAAACTGTCCTGGGCTCATCTCCAACAGCGTGGGCAGCGTGTGAGGGGGGGATTCTGCCCCTCTGCTCTGTTCTAGAGCCACCCCCTTGTTAGAGCTTCCTCCAGCTCCGGGGTGGGGCCAGAGAATGAGATACTGGGAAGGAACTCCCTGTGCAGAGGGTGAGGCACTGACATAGGCTGAGAGAAGCTGGGGCTGCCCTATTCCTGGCAGTGTTTAAGGCCTGCTTGGGAGAAGACTTAGAGCAACCTGGTCTAGTGGAAGGGGGTTGGACCTGGACAGTCTTTAAGGTCCCTTCCAAACAAAAGCAATCTGTTACCCTGTTAATCCATTATCACTTTACTCTGATTCTACAAGAGGAAGAAGAAACCCCCGTTGTGAGCCTGGCAGAAGAGATTTACTCTCACTGCACTCTGCAGATAACCTTGCTTTGAGAGCACAGTGGTGCAACCAATGTGTCACAGGGTGATTTTATGATGATGCTTTATTCCCTTATCTCAGCTTTATGCCCAGAAAACAAATGCTGCAGCTTTAAGATGGAGCCAGAGGTGGGGTGGGGAGCCTTGAGCCCTAAGTGGGCTCTGTTCAAGCTCCTCTCTGGGTGCTCCGGGTGGACCGAGACCACATCGTTCCTTTTGTTGGACTGGGTTGGCGTTTTTTGCTGCTAAAGTGAAGCAAAAGTGTTTTTTCCCTGGCCTTCCCCTGCCTGGAGGCTGTACCGGGAATCCTCTCGGCGCTTTGTTATTTTTCTGAGCTATTCCCGCTTGCTTTTTTCTTTTTCGGCCGCTCGGGGGAGCCAGCGGGACCGGGACCGCCCCGAACCCGAGGCCTCGGAGGAGCTGAACCAACACAAGAAAGGAAATTAAAATCAAATCTTCAGCCGCTGCCAGAAGACCCTCTCCAGAAATCCAACAGGTTCCAGCTCCAGCTTCTATGAACCCTTTTCTGCTCTGTCCTCATAGAGAAAAAAGGGCAGACACTACCTCTGCCTCTCAGCCACACAGGGAGGTGGGGTGTAAGTTTCAAAATGTTTTTCCCTTGTATTTTTTGTTGTAATTTCTGTTTTTTCTGTTAATAAATACGGGTTTTTTCACTTTCATCCCCTGGTATCCATTTCTCTCACTGGCAGAAAAAAGAGGAATTCCTGAAGCCCTCTTTTTTGACAAAAACAATCATTTTTAAAGCATATTTCTCCTAGAATTTTCTCCAAACCAAGACACAAGGTTTGGGACGGGCTGGGTAAGCCCAGGAGGTTCAGTGAGGCCAAGGGCAGGTGCAATTCACACTGTCATGGTGTTCCTCTTATATTATTACAAAATCCTCAATACCTCCACACACCTCAACCATGTGCAGAACAACAAAAAAGAACAGCAAGAACACAATCCTCTGCTCAACAAAAACCATCATGGCCACCCAGAGAACACCAAAAACCTCCCTTAGTGCTCCTTTTGGGCAAAGCAGCAGCCGTGACCTCCTCTGTCAAATCAGGTCTGTGGTGTCACCAGAGCCATCTCGGTCCCACAGGGTGGCAGCACCTGCAGGCGACCCTGAGATGATACTGTTATAGATACATATTATAATATTGGCTTTTTGCAAATATTTAAATGGATTCTATATGTGTAATGTTAAAGTAACTTTGTTATAAAGATGTAGTTTTTATTTCTGTTGTTAATTAAGCTTAGACATAGTAGTGAAATAGCTGATATAAGGATGCTTGTGTTAAAATGCCTGCTTGGATGGGATAACATCCGATGAACACAGGATGGGGACACCTGTACAGATCTGCCAACTATCAGCACTCACTGTCTGAAGAAAATATGGACCAAGGCCCAAAAAAACTGGAAGTGATAAAGGAGCCAAAATTACAGCCAAGAAAAAGGCAAGCACTAAAAAGGCAGACCCAAGGAGGAGCCATGTAAAATAGTTTCTGGAATATGTAAACTAGTTTATGGATATGCATAAGGGGCTATGATTATGCTGATGTAATGGAAAATGTATTTAAGGTGTGAGGGTGCTCTTGGCTCAGTGTCAAGATGCACCCAGCCATAATAACCATTGTTCTATGGTCCTTATTTCCTATTGTCCTTTATTAAAAATTTTAAATTTTCACGGAACAGGGAAGGTGTTTCAGAAAACTGCAGCAGGCAGAGGAGAGCTGGAGGCAGCACAGGGGGCAGAGCCCCACAGGCCCCTCTGGGCACCAACACTGCACTGCTCAGATTGCTGCAGCTGCACAGGAGAGAGGGGCTGGACAAGGCAGTTTGGGACTTCTGCTTGTTCTGTTTGCTTGTTTCTCCATTAGAACACAGAGGACACCTCACAGCTGCTGCTGCAGCCACCGAATCCTTTGTCCAGAGGGCTGAAGCACCACGCAGGCAGCACCTGGCAGGAGATGGATCCCAACCCAGCTGCTGTTCTTGGGGCTTTGGGGGTGTCCTGTCCCGAGCTCTGGGCTGCTGCTGCTGCTGGCATTGGGCTCTGCTCAGTTCTTTTTGCTCTTGGGGGTGTCATACTTCCTCTTGCTCGAGTACCAGAGCAGCAGAGGGATCCCGATGGAGGGCAGGGTCATCACGCCAAACGCTGCCCAGTCCAGCTA